GTAAGTTATATATCCGATAGACCCTTCCTGCCTTTCATTCTGTGAGGTGTAAGTTATATATCCGATATACCCTTCCCGCCTTTCATTCTGTGAGGTGTAAGTTATATATCCGATAGACCCTTCCCGCCTTTTATTCTGTGAGGTGTAAGTTATATATCCGATAGACCCTTCCCGACTTTCATTCTGTGAGGTGTAAGTTATATATCCGATATACCCTTCCCGTCTTTCATTCTGTGGGGGTTAGTTTTATATCCGATATATCCTTCCCGCCTTTCATTCTGTACGGTGTAAGTTATATATCCGAGATTCCCTTCTCACCTTTCATTCTGTATGGTGTAAGTTATATATCCGGTATATACCCTTCCCGCCTTTCATTCTTTGAGGTGTAAGTTATATATCCGATATACCCTTCCTGCCTTTCATTCTGTGAGGTGTAAGTTATATATCCGATAGACCCTTCCCGCCTTTCATTTTGTATGGTGTAAGTTATATATCCGATACACCCTTCCCGTCTTTCATTCTGTGAGGTGTAAGTTATATATCCGATAGACCCTTCCCGCCTTTTATTCTGTGAAGTGTAAGTTATATATCTGATATACCCTTCCCGCCTTTCATTCTGTGAGGTGTAAGTTATATATCCGATATACCCTTCACGACTTTCATTCTGTGTGATGTCGTATGATGACAATCAATGACTGTTTACCAACAACATCGCACACCTGTAATACTGCTGAAACAAATACATGCTCATGATATAGTCAGAATTGTACATTCGACTTAGCTTTTAGTAGAGATTACTTATGGACGTGGAAAAGGTTTGGCCTCTTCTATTAATATATCCGATAAACGCCCTTCCTCCTTTCATTCTCTGTGATGGAAGTTATATATCCGACACACATACACCCCCCACCCCCACCCCCACCCCCACCTTGCCTTTCAGCCTGAATAATATTACAATATTTTGTTTTCAACACTTTTATCTAAGGGATAGTTCATAATTGATGGGGTGTGATGCTGATCTTTATGGAGAAACATGTGCAACGTGAATGACCCACTCCCCTTACAATTTATTTACAAAGTAAGTGACACCCCCCATGCAAGTAAAGGATCATGTATAAATGCAGCAAAATTCGGTCACATACACCTGAATACGGAAATCTTTTCACAGTTACATAGCTAATTACGACAAAAATCAGAATTATTTCAGAACACAATGGGGTGTTTGAACTATTTCCATTAACGTGGCCGATTATATGATATTTATTACGTGATGTAAATAACATGATGCTTGCATTATAAAACAACACAGTTAATGAAAATGAAACGAGAGGTTTGTTTGAGTGGGAATTGCCACACGATATAAACGATTGAATAACTGACAAAAATAATTAGAAACTCTTAAAGTGCTTCAAACCTATATTGGAAAATTAAATGTGAGCTACATATTTGCAGAGGAATATGGAAATATGTAACTGATAATTTTCAGTGTCTCCTCACAAAAACATTAACTAAATCATATTCCGCGCATAGATTGCCTTAAGTTTTAGAGTTAACCGGGAGCAGTACTGCAGTAAATAGGGTTTTACGAAATTGTGGACTGTTTATCCCAGTTCTGGTCGTATCCCAGTTCTGGTCGCTACAATTGTGCATTTTCCATAACTGAATTTGTGGAAATGATGATGAAAACTGTCAATTCCAACATTCTTATAGCTTGCACGTTTATGTAAGAAATTGAATAACTCATTACTAATGAACTGAGTGAACTAAACTCACTCACTAAACCCGCTGGTTCACATGTCAACCCGCTGGTACAAAAGTCATATTTCGTTTCCTGAGTTGAGACATTTTACATTTTGTAGAAAACCAGTGTTTTGATCCTTTAAAACAACACCGTTTTCACAACATCAAGCATCAACTAAATTTGACAGAATTTTTTACTTAAGGTATTCTGGCGCTTACCCCTCGATTGGTTTACTTAAATAAGTAGTAATGTTGAACATGAAATCAGTGATTAGAGATCAATAGAAGTACAACTGCACCACAAAAGGTTATTCCTCGATTTTCCAATAAAACAATTTCTAAACACGACGTCGCCCGCGGGCGACGTCGCCTTCGACGTCGTGGACGACGTCGATTTTGTATTTTTGTCGTAGATCATTCTTGTGTATTTCTGCACGACGTCGTGGACGACGTCTTACACGACGTCGTGGTCGACGTCGTCTTTTTTATGCGACGTCGTGAGCGACGTCGCCCACGACGTAGTTCTTTTTTGACGCGCCACGCGATGGCAATTATAGGACACCATACGGAAATGATCGTTTCAACACGAAATATGACAACCTCATCAGCAGACACGCCTTTTTTTGCTGTCAAACCTTATATATAGTTATTTTAGGTCTTCATTCAGAGTTTAGGCTTAAATGCGTCAGTATTTTTTTCAGTTATCGTCAAAAAATCAAACTGTACATTTTATATGGAGTTGCTCACATTTAGCAAACAAACTGTCCATTTTGCGTTATGAATTTACTGTCCAGGAGTTGACAGTTTGTTGTTTTAACCGTCAGGTGATCAAACGTTATTCTAGAGATATTTGTTGTGAAGAAGAATGTTTTGTTGTAGACCTGCCTACCTGGCGTATTTTGGCGTATTTATTACGATTTTGTATGTTCAAGTACGATTGTACACCCATATTGCAGTTTGTTCGACAATGATTTAATGTATAGAAAACCAACATGAACAAATGTACGTCTACTCCAGGAATAACCAAGTCCTGGGGCTTGTTTCACAAAGCTCTCCCTGATGCTGCATTGACTTGCACTGATCCATGTCTTGCAGTATGCTGATGGAGCTTCCCCTTATCCTTCAGCTGAATTTGTCTTTTAAAATTCAGCCATGTGTTTGTGATCACAAAATCGCCCTCTTGTTTGAGACCACTCGAACATGCAGACATCTACTAGTCTACCTACTCTGTTTTTTACACCAATGTCTATTGCGTAAATGACTTTCGGTTGTTGGTTCCACGCTGCACTCAACAATATTACAGCTATATGGCGGTGGTTTGGAAATAATCGAGTCTGTACCAGACAATCCAGTGATCAACAGCGTGATCATCGATCAACGCAATTGGGATACGATGACTTGTGTCAGCGAGCCTGACTGATAACGCCAGTCGCCTCTGAAGACAAGCATGGGTTGCTATAATGAAGAAATAACCGAGCCACAGTTAAGTCTCCTGACCACGCGGCTACGCTCCTTGTGTATTATATCAACCGCTTGGTCTCTGTAAGCAAGGCTGGGTACTTAATGGATGACAACTTCTTTATTACATTGTGATGCCACGTTTCGGTATAGACTGTCAAAGCAAGAATATATACCGAGAAGTCGTATCATAATATAATAAAAAAAGTTGTCATCCTACTTTCTCATAGCTCACCAACTTCTAAAATGCCAACCAAACAGATATGCTTGGTCTCAGTGAATGTCAGTAATTTGTCACTGTCCAACCTTCCGCTTCAAATCCATGTTATGGGGTTCTTCCGAATAACTCACACTCTTTACTCTACCGAAACTAGATCTGTGCCTGTGAGGGAACTGTTGTGTTTTGATTGGCTAATTCCGACAGTCCCATAATTACCGGTAGGTGTTGTCAAATGCCGGCACTGTCGTGGATATGATAAGTCACATTAGAAACGTTTACAGCTGTTGTTTGTAAATAAACAGCATTATATTGTGTTTTGTTCTCGCGTCATTGTACAGATTATATTTCGTAAAAGATTCGATTGAACCTCTTTCACCTCAAACCGACAGACAGATTTTGTTTAGTAATATTGGCCTACTGGTCCATGTTACAATTGTTACAACACATGTGTTGTCACGTGGTAAGAAAATAGACAAGAATAGAAATAGAATAGAAATAGAATAGAATAGACACTGTTTCAACCATTCTTGAAAATACACACTTTAGAAATATGGTTATTACGTTAACGGTAATCTATTTTTTGAATTTGTCGTTTGGGATTTACATACATATTTGCCATCGAGAAATGGTAAATATTTTATTCTCAAATAATTATATTTTGGACATTGTAGTAAAATATGAAATTCATCCCGAACTTGTCCGCTGTTACAATGGTTACATAAGGTGTGCTGTGTTTCAGCATCCTTGTTTCGTCTGGTTGCATTCACATTCCAATTATGTATAGAAATTCGGAATTTACAAAATATCTTCAGTAACGTCTTATCACGAAACAAGTATGTAATATACGCTTCAGGGTAAAATCCAAATTTTACACGACTATAAAATATTAGAATCTTTGTCGAAACGTCGCCTATACAGAAAAAAAAGAAATTGTATATCCATAAAAATTGTCTTCATCTTCATCTCCTCAACTTCTAGAATGCCAATGAAAGAATACATTTGTATAGTTACTATATCTTACTGAATAGTGAGAAAACCATGTATTTCCACAGGTTGAATTTGACATGTGACCTAAATACATCTCAGTACCTGTTCATGATTAAAAAAATTCTCAGCCCATAAAAATCAAAGGAGAAAGGACAGGTCTCTACTCTTGATAGAGAAAGCCAGTTCTGACTGTAATTTGGAAATCCAGACAGATTTGTTATTATTTCGTAGTCTCAAATTATCCATTTCGAGAATAACTAACATGGGATTCGATCTAGAATTATTGTAACATTCGGGAAATACCAGCAAAAGTGGCACTTATTTAGAATGACTTCCCTTAGACCGTCATTTGTCGTACTCTGCTGCCTCGGGTAAATGTGAATAGCTGGATAAAAGTTCCGGTGAGTGTGTAATTCGGTTATTACAAAGACGATGTGATTCAACGGTATCGCGTGAAAAAATACTTATTTCAGAACAATATCTTACAGAATTTGGCGTGCAATGTATTCCTCACTTTGCCGATACCCAAATGAATTAATAGTTTTGGAAACCACAAAATTAAGTTGGGTCGAAAAAATGTATATTCCAGAGGGAACTTCGTAAGGTATTCACCGGTTCACAATATGGAGAATAAGCGCGGAATCGACGAAACTGAAGGAAAAGAAACTCCTTCTGATGTCAAGAAGCAGAGGGCAAATATCACACACAGGTAAATTTAAAGTTACAGTGATGTGATTGCACTCACACAACTAATTAATGCTCAGTTTGACGCCAATTGAAATGCACCGACCCATGCGGCTCCGTGCAGTGCTTACATTATTTAAAAACCACCGAAGATATTGCTTTTAAACAGAAGTACATAGCTCAGACCAACATTTGTAAGTTTACTCAGTTCTGTACAAAGTTTTAACGGCACGGTTGCCAACGACGAATACGTCCAGGTCATCTCTCAGAGGCATCCGCGTAAGTCTCATTTTTTATTCTACCGAAACTCTATCTGTGCCTGTGAGGGAACTGTTGTGTTTTGATTGGCTAATTCCGACAGTCCCATAATTACCGGTAGGTGTTGTCAAATGTCGGCACGTGTCGTGGATATGATAAGTCACATTAGATATGTTTACGGCCGTTGTTTGTAAATGAACAGCTAGATATTATGTTTTGTTCTGGCGACATTGTAAAATTATGTTGCTATTTTGTTAAAAGTTAGATTGGTATGTAATCTGTTAGTACCCCTCGGGAAGAAATGGGATAGGCCATAGGTATGCATACGTGTATATATACGATGAGCACAACTGTATCTGCCTCACGCATTTCATGCAGCTATGACGAGGTAAATGGTCATGTTTCTGTTCTGAAATCAGGACGTGATTTGGTCATTAGAAATGACACATGGAAATAAATGAGCTCAAAGCAGAAAAAAATGCAAGTGCTTGCTCAGTTTGCAGTTCTGGAAAGTTTGAATCGGATTTCACGGGGCTATCTTCATCAACTGTCCCGATAATCAACAACAGTGTCACACTTATAACAAATTGAAATAGAGTTCATTCCTACACCGAAAACAAAACATAATGATCAACTATTTACATACTTGAAGTACCAAATTCCTGATATACCTGGGGGGTCTGACATACCTGTTGGTATCCGTTCACTGAGTGAACAAGTAATTCTCCACTTGCAGGTAGCTTCACCCTACTTGTCACACTACAAGTTCATTTGGTGACATCTTTCAGTTGGCCTGTTGATCAAATATGAAGTATTTGTTTGCATATGGAGGTAATGCAGAAAGATTCCAGTAGATTCCCAATTTAGATTCCTTTGTAGGCTAATTTGTAAATGTTAGTTTGTTGAAAAAAAGTTTATGAACTTTTAATGTTCTTAATTCAGAGGCAATTTTTCATCACCATCAATAATAGCTAACATACATATGTATCTTAGCTACATCAATACAAATATGCCTCTTTAATGGTCCTGTTATCAGTAGGTCACCTCTAAAGCCATGACCTATGTGATAATTATTTTGATATTTGAGGCAGAAAATCAGATCTTGATCATTCCCTGTACTAGGCTGTAGTCAGCCTTCAGACAATAAAATACTCAACCACTCTGTGTAGATACACATACTTTGTCATCCCACAAGTGGTAGGTGAAGACAGTTTCACAAACTCAGCATTGTGTGTCAGGAAGTTTTGTCAGCAATGTAGAATATTGTTAGAGAGGAAAGGTTGGGCTAGGTTGTCTGAGATAATGATTAGGTTAGTTTAGGATGGGGATCCCAAGACTTTCAGTGAAGGCAATGATAGATATACAGCTACATAGTCAGATGATCTGTTTGCTTGACCACACCAACATATACTGTTACATGATGCAGGCATTGACCCAGAATTACCACTGCTTCATTATGTGAGCAAGATTCAGGGCATTTATTACTGCCACATTGTGTCCGTGAAATATGGGTACCTAACCCTCACAAGCAGATTGGAGCAACCTGACCCAGAGGCAGTGAGATATACTGTGTCCAGGTGTGTTAACAATATGGAAACTATAAGGATGGACACTTTATCACGGAGCTAAAGCCTTCTTCTTTGAGTACCATTTAGAATCGATCCGCGACCGCGTCATACAAAAAGACGTTAAAATATGGTACTTGTTGGTCCCTGCCTGGTGCTCGGCATTAATGGGTACAACAAGGACTGGTCGGCTCAGAGTCAGTATAATGTGTCTGAGTGGGGTATTCATGCTTCACTGCGGCATGGCATCTCAGTGGGCTAGCACTATAAAACCAGCTTCAGTCTGGGCTAATACAAGCAGTCGCACATACACATACACACGCATGCACGTCGTCATATGAGGAAATATTCTCAAGTACGACGTTAAACCCAATTTCACCTCACCTCACCATTTAGAAGCTGGTATGATGAACAGGAATGATATTTTATGGATAGACAGCTTCTTGATTGCAATGGATGCAACATTTCAGTGTAGATGCTAACATCATTATTGCTTGAAAACAGTGTTAGCATCTACAACGAAACGTCGCATCTGAGCTAAAGCCTTGTTGACTCTGTTTAGTGGGAGTCTTTTCTGTAAGTTTTTTAATAGTAAGGTTACTTCATGTTTTGTGTTACAGTGAAGGCATTCTCCTTGGCTACGGCAACCCCCTCCTGGATATCTCTGTCAATGCCACAGAGGAATTCCTGAAGAAGTAAGTATCTCTGTTTATATTTCCTGAATGTCCGTCTCGTGACCCCTTTCTCTCCCAACCCCCATACCAGGTGACCTTCATGTAACATTTAATCGACTCTAAAGACTTAAGTGAACATTATGATATCTACCTTGTGCTTAATTAACCACACACATTCTGTTATTAAATCTAACATGTGTGATATCACATTAGTGTTGGCTTTCTTTTTTATCTGAAGTGCAGAATCTTAGTTGTTTTCGCTGCCAAAGTTACTGTATTGAACATGTGTGATGAATGGCACTAATTGTGTTGGAAACACTTGATGTGTTATGTGCTGTGTACTTTAAGATATGGCCTGGATGCCAACAATGCCATCCTGGCCGAGGACAAACACAAGCCCATGTGAGTATATCTCCCGACTCTCCATGTTACCAAGGTGATTAAGCTACACAGTGTTTTACCTTGACCAACACAATCAGGTGTCCGCAGGACCCCCAGTTACTAATTTCAGGGGTCCTTATGTGGACTTCAATGTACGAGAGTCCTGTTAGGTAATGATGTAGTAGACTGTGCTGTAAGCTTTAATGATTACTTTAAATACATGAACTTTATATTTCTTGTCACAAATTTCAAATTAATTATTATTGTGTACATTGAGGCAATATATTTATTTTTCTGCTTCCATTCTATACATTTGTGCGTATAGGACTCACATGTCTGCATCACGTAAAGCCACGGCGACAGGAATGCAGAGTCGACAGATATTGGGGATACACATGATTAAAATTCCATCAGTATTTAAATCATCCCAAGTTTAGTGCAAAAAGGGTATATATGATGTCTAGTCACTATTTATCTAGCAGATGCATGATTAATTGTGGCAGTAATTTCGATGCTATCTCCCCAACAGATATGATGACATGTTGGCCACATTCAAGGATCAGGTAGACTTTGTCCCAGGTGGCGCCACTCTCAACGCCCTCCGTGTAGCTCAGGTAGGTGGAACCCACATAACACTTTAATGTAGTATAGTACATACATCAGGTATTAGACTAAACTTCGTAATGCCTTTGTTCACTTGGACCCAATGCTTCAGTAGTACTAGTAGGAGGGACTATGGTGTTTGCTCGTCATGCCCAAGACAGGGTTACATTCCCCAAATTGGTACAACATGTGAAGCCCATTTCTGGTGTCTGTGGTGTAATCAAATTACAAATTACAAATCCTGCAATATTTGTGTTTACAGTGGCTGATTGGCAAACCTAACTCGGTCACATTTTTCGGGTGCGTCAGTAAAGACAAGTATGGTGATATCCTGCAGCAGAAGGCCCAGGAGGCAGGGGTCAATGTACGCTTCCAGTACACGGACAAGGAGCCCACAGGGACATGTGCTGTTGTCTGTACCGGCAAGGACAGGTAGGATCAGGAGGGTGTGGGTGGGCTTGGAAGGGTGAGGGTTGTGATGGTAGGATGCGACAGTGGGATGAGGGACGAGATCATAGGGTGGGGGGCGTGACAGTGGGGTGAGGGTCATGATGGTAGAGTGTGGGGTGTGACAGTGGAATGAGGGACTTGATGGTTGGATGAGGCACATGATGGTGGGGTAAGGGGCCTGATGGGTGGGTGAGGGTCACGAAAGAAGTTAAGTGCAATGGTGGGTAGCTGGTTAAGACACTGGGTCATGGTAGGGTAGAGTATGATGGTTGGGGTATGAGAATGGGTAAAGGGGCGTGATGAAAGGTAGTAGGGTAAGATGGTGGGTCAAGGGCCATGGACAGACACCACAGACAGGGGTACAATGCTGACTGTACTAGAGACATAATCAGGCAGGCCCAGATTCAAACCCATGATTGTAGGTTTCAGGCATGTCCAAGGAATGCAACTCTGTATTGCAAAGTGTAGCACCTTGGACAACTGGGCTACCTGTGCCCTCAAGAATTCTGAGATAATTTGATTTATTTGCTATGTTAGAAATATGAAATATTTCCAATTCAGATCTCTGGTTGCTAATCTAGCTGCAGCTAACTGCTTCACGGAAGAACATCTGGATAAAGTAGAAAATATGTCGTTTGTGGAGAAAGCCAAGTACTACTACTGCGCTGTGAGTATGACACCTGGCTCACCAGCACTAGTGAGGACGATCTCTGTCAACAACTTCACTCATGGAGGTGTTTGGTAGTTGTCCCACGTTTAGTCCTTACATTCTGAAGTAACCTGCTCCAACAAATCATATATGAATCAGGTGGAAACAATGGAACGGAGTATGACATTTTAAAAAGAATCGGTAATAAATGTCTCTAATTCCGAACATGAGTGTGACTGTGATTTCAAGCGGATGAGGACTTGTTAGGTACCAGCTTAACTGATTGGTGCACAGTTACCTCCCTTCATTTCTGAGGACTGTTAAGTCTTCATTACCATGATGCGAGTAAGGTATCGATACACAGTATGATGTGTAAAAAACAGAATAGTTGGAATGTTAGAGTTAGTTTTCCTTTAGAGTAGATTATTGAATAGCTGCAATGCAAGCCTGTTGATTCTATCAGCAATGCCCATGAAGTCCTCTAAAATGTCCTGATGGAGTATTGGGAAGCTCTAGAATAATGGCAGTTGCATTGAAATATTTTTAATTGTATTTGAAAACATCAGAAAGGGACGTCATCTGTTGTCAGCAGTGCATCCACAGTGATTGGAAATGATCAGTGGTGATGGTTTATAGATCTGCTGTTTATCAGTGGCTCTGTGAATATGACTTAGTAACGATAACTTACAATTTGACCTTGAAACAAGCGTTTTTTGTATTATCTGCAAAGAATGTTACCATTAAGCTGCAGTCATTGACTTTCCTTCACCATAGTCTCAACAATACCAGAGATGCCAACCACTCCGAGTTTCATGTACAAAATCCACTCTCAGATTTGTCTATAAAAAAACTCCGATTTTTTTAGAAAATACAAATATGTTTATTAAGTTAGAATGTTTGAAAGAATTTTAGTAAATAGCCATTTAAATATGTTTATTTGAGTTAAGTATTATCTGGTTAAGTATGCCCAGAATTTGCATATTTCCAGGCTAAATCTAAAGATTTTCATAGGGGAGGCCCCCCAGTCAAAAGGGGATCGAGCCCTCTCTCCGCTCACCCCCAACGCTTGGGAATTGCTTTTAGCAAGGCATGGCTCTGCTGTCATTTGATTCAGGGTTGGCATCTCTGCAATACCATATATTCACTAATATGGCTGGTAGTTTGAAGTTTGTCATGTGTTTGCAGGGCTTCCCCTTGACGGTGTGTCCCAAGGCAATGTTAAAGATTGCCCGACATTCCTTTGGAGAAGCAGAAGACCTTCTGCATGAACCTGTCAGCCTATTCCTGTGCCAGTTCTTCAAGGACCCCATGTTGCAGCTCATGCCTTATGTTGACTATGTCTTCGAAATGAAAATGTAAGTTGACTCTGGTAGCTGGCTGATATACAATGAAACCCTGTTATCCTAGAAACCTGTCTTAATGCATGTTGCTGACTTGCTTAAACTGACTAAATCACAATGCATAAAATTTGAAACTAACTAGGAACTGTTACAGCCCCAAACTACAAATAATGTTAAACATTTCAGTGTAGATGCTAACATCATTATTGCTTGAAAACAGTGTTAGCATCTACAAATCTAAACGCCGCGATCTGAGCTAAAGGGCTAAACCTTGTTGAACTCTGTTTTAGTAGAGTCTTTTCTGTAAGTTTTTTTAATAAGCCAGAGTTACTTCATGTTTTTGTGTTACAGTGAAGGCATTCTCCTTGTCTGACGCAACCCCTCCTGGATATCTCTGTCAATGCCACAGAGGAATTCCTGAAAAGTAGTAAGTATCTCTGTTTATATTTCCTGAATGTCCGTATAAGTGACCACTTTCTCTCCCCACCCCATAAATTAGGTGACCTTCATGTAACATTTAAATGGTACTCTAAAGACTTAAGTGAACATTATGATATCTACCTTGTGCTTAATTAACCACACACATTCTTGTTATTAAATCTAACATGTGTGTGATATCAAGCATTAAGTATTGGCTCTTTTTTATCCTGAAGTGGAGAATCTTAGTTGTTTTCCGCTGCCAAAGTTACTGTCATTGAACATGTGTGATGAATGGCACTTTAATTGTGTTGGAAACACTTATGTGTTATGTGCTGTGTACTTTAAGATATGGCCTGGTCTGCCAACAGTGCCATCCAGCCCGAGGACAAACACAAGCCATGTGAGTATATCTCCGACTCTCCATGTTACCAAGGTGATTAAAGCTACACAGTGTTTTACCTTGACCAACACAATCAGGGTATCATAGGACCCCCAGTTACTAATTTCAGGGGTCCTTATGTGGACTTCTCAATGTAATGAAGTCCTGTTAGAGTAATGATGTAGTAGACTGTGCTGTAAGCTTTAATGATTACTTTAAATACATGAACTTTATATTTCTTTGTCTACAAATTTCAAATTAATTTATTATTGTGTACATTGAGGCAATATATTTATTTTCTGCTTCCATCTCTATACATTTTATTAATGGTATAGGACTCACATGTCTGCATCTAATGAAAAGCTAATGCAAGACAGGAATGCAAGAGTCGACAGATATTGGGGATACACATGATTAAAATTCTATCTGTATTTAAATCATCCCAAGTTTAGTGCAAAAAGAGTATATATGATGTCTAGTCACTCATTTATCTAGCAGATGCATTGATTAATTGTGGCAGTAATTTCATATCTCCCCAACAGATATGATGACATGTTGGCCACATTCAAGGATCAGGTAGACTTTGTCCCAGGTGGTGCCACTCCTCAACGCCTCCCACGGTAGCTCCTTACAGGTAGGTGGAACCCACATAACACTTTAATGTAGTATAGTACATACATCAGGTATTAGGACTAAACTGGCGTGAACGCCTTTGTTCACTTGGACCCAATGCTTCAGTAGTACTAGTAGGAGGGGCTATGGTGTTTGCTCGTCATGCCCAAGACCGGGGTTACATTCCCCAAACTGGTACAACATGTGAAGCCCATTTCTGGTGTCTGTGGTGTAATCAAATTACAAATTACAAACCCTGCAATATGTGTGTTTACAGTGGCTGATTGGCAAACCCTTAACTCCCCGGCCACATTTTCGAATGCCATCAAAGACAAGCATGGTGATATCCTGCAGCAGAAGGCCCAGGGAGGCAGGGGTCAATGGGCTGCACGCCCAGTACACGGACAAGGAGCCCACAGGACATGTGCTGCTGTCTGCACCGCAAGGACAGGTAGGACTCAGAGAGTGGGGTGGGCTTGGAAGGGTGTGAGGAGGCTTGTGGATGGTAGGGTGTGACAGTGGGATGAGGGATGAGAACTCATAGGGTGAGGGGCTGGACGGTGGGGTGAGGGGCTTGATGGTTGGATGAGGCATGATGGTAGGCTGAGAAGGAATGGAGTCAGTGGAATGGATGGGTGAGGGCTTGATGGTTGGATGAGGCACATGATGGTAGGCTGAGGGTGACATTATGGGTTTGGAGGCATGACAGTGGGGTGAGTGGACTTTGATGGTTAGATGAGGCACACATGATGGTAGGGTGAGGGGCGGACCTAAGTGGGTTAGGAAAGAACAAATCGACGAGGGTGAGGGACTTGATGGTTGGATGAGGCACATGATGGTAGGCTGAGAGGAAGTAACAGACTGGAGTCAGAGGCGTGAAGCCTGGTGGGTGAGGACACGATGGATTGGATGAGGCATGATGGTGAAGCTGAGAGAGCATGTAAGAGATTTAGGTTAAGTGGGAGATTAGGAATTATAGCTTGATAGTTGCGTTGAGGGCTATGATAAGGAAAGGATGAGGCATGATTGGAGTCAATGGCATGTGGAGGGGAAGTGGATGGTTGGATGAGGCAGCATGATGGTGAGGCTGAGGGATGGACAATTAGGTTAGGGGAATGATGAGAATGGGGTGAGGAATTGATGGACAGATGAGGCGGATGATGGTAGAGGTGATGGAAGGAGGAATTTAGGAATAATGGATAATTGAGGGGATAGTTGGATAGAGGCATATGGATGGTTGGCTGGAGGCGTGGCACAGAGTGAACTAGGGCATGATGGTGGGGAGGGGTGAGGAACAGTGGGATGAGATGGTAGGGAAGGTGGCAGTGGGGGAGGGGAACATGACAGGAGGGAATTGAGGGGCCCGACAGTGATGGAAGGTCACATAATGGGATGCAATGATGGTATTTGGTGGGGAATGGAAGCGGTGGAGTAGAATGGTGGTAGTATGAATTCACAATAAGTAGGGTATTGAGAAAGAATATGGAGACACTAGGGCACAGGATGGTAGAGGGAGGGTTGAGGCAAGAGTATGGGTCAGGGTGGTAGGGTGAGTATGCGATGGTTGGGGTTATGAGAATGGCATGTGGTATGGGTGAGGGATAGTTGGGGTAAGAGAATGGTTCTGGGCTAAGAAGTAGGCATGATGGTTGGGCAAAAGAGGGAGCCTGATGGGTAGGTGAGGGGATCAAGTAAGAAAATAGGGTCATGGTAGGTACCAATGGTGGGTGGCTGGGAACAGAGGTCATGGTAGGGGTAGAGTATGATGGTTGGGGGTAAGAGAATGGGTCATGTTAGGGAGTATGAGAATGGGTCATGGTAGGGTAGAGTATGATGGTTGGGGTATGAGAATGGGTAAAGGGCGATGAAAGGTAGTAGGGTAAGATGGTGGGTCAAGGGCCATGGACAGACACCACAGACAGGGGTACAATGCTGACTGTACTAGAGACATAATCAGGCAGGCCCAGATTCAAACCCATGATTGTAGGTTTCAGGCATGTCCAAGGGATGCAACTCTGTATTGCAAAGTGTAGCACCTTGGACAACTGGGCTACCTGTGCCCTCAAGAATTCTGAGATAATTTGATTTATTTGCTATGTTAGAAATATGAAATATTTCCAATTCAGATCTCTGGTTGCTAATCTAGCTGCAGCTAACTGCTTCAATGGAAGAACATCTGGATAAAGTAGAAAATATGTCGCTTGTGGAGAAAGCCAAGTACTACTACTGGCGCTTCGTGAGTATGACACCTGGCTCACCAGCACTAGTGAGGACGATCTCTGTCAACAACTTCACTCATGGAGGTGTTTGGTAGTTGTCCCACGCTTAGTCCTTACATTCTGAAGTAACCTGCTCCAACAAATCATATATGAATCAGGTGGAACAATGAAAGTATGACATTTTAAAAAGAATAGGTAATAAATGTCTCTAATTCCGAACATGAGTGTGACTGTGATTTCAAGTGGATGAGGACTTGTTAGGTACCAGCTTAACTGCAGATTGGTGCACAGTTACCTCCCTTCATATTCTGAGGACAGTTAAGTCTTCATTACCATGATGTGAGTAAGGTATCGATACACAGTATGATGTGTAAAACAGAATAGTTGGAATGTTAGAGTTAGTTTTCCTTTAGAGTAGATTATTGAATAGCTTTGTTTGTGCTGCAATGCAAGCCTGTTGATTCTATCAGCAATGCCCATGAAGTCCTCTAAAATGTCCTGATGGAGTATTGGGAAGCTCTAGAATAATGGCAGTTGCATTGAAATATTTTTAATTGTATTTGAAAACATCAGAAAGGGACGTCATCTGTTGTCAGCAGTGCATCCACAGTGATTGGAAATGATCAGTGGTGATGGTTTATAGATCTGCTGTTTATCAGTGGCTCTGTGAATATGACTTAGTAACGATAACTTACAATTTGACCTTGAAACAGCGTTTTTGTATTATCTGCAAAGAATGTTACCATTAAGCTGCAGTCATTGACTTTCCTTCACCATAGTCTCAACAATACCAGAGATGCCAACCACTCCGAGTTTCATGTACAAAATCCACTCTCAGATTTGTCTATAAAAAAAACTCCGATTTTTTTAGAAAATACAAATATGTTTATTAAGTTAGAATGTTTGAAAGAATTTTAGTAAATAGCCATTTAAATATGTTTATTTGAGTTAAGTATTATCTGGTTAAGTATGCCCAGAATTTGCATATTTCCAGGCTAAATCTAAAGATTTTCATAGGGGAGGCCCCCCAGTCAAAAGGGGATCGAGCCCTCTCTCCGCTCACCCCCAACGCTGGGAATTGCTTTTAGCAAGGCATGGCTCTGCTGTCATTTGATTCAGGGTTGGCATCTCTGCAATACCATATATTCACTAATATGGCTGGTAGTTTGAAGTTTGTCATGTGTTTGCAGGGCTTCCCCTTGACGGTGTGTCCCAAGGCAATGTTAAAGATTGCCCGACATTCCTTGGAGAAGCAGAAGACCTTCTGCATGAACCTGTCGGCGCCATTCCTGTGCCAGTTCTTCAAGGACCCCATGTTGCAGCTCATGCCTTATGTTGACTATGTCTTCGGAAATGAAAATGTAAGTTGACTCTGGTAGCTGGCTGATATACAATGAAACCCTGTTATCCTAGAAACCTGTCTTAATGCATGTTGCTGACTTGCTTAAACTGACTAAATCACAATGCATAAAATTTGAAACTAACTAGGAACTGTTACAGCCCCCAAACTACAAATAATGTTACACAGACTTCTTGTTCAGCCATATGTCTACTGTGTATTGTTTAACCACGAGGAGCTGGTAACACAAGGTGTTTGGTAAAACAAGAAAGTTTCAGCTGAAAACAGAAGCAGAATAAAGCTGAATATGAAAAGAGTGATGTTGCTTTTATCAACCATTTATTGACCAAGTAAGAGGTTCTTAAACCCATGTAATGGGTAACTGGCAAACTGTGGAGACTGATTCCTATAGAACGCTGTTATTCCCAATGCCTGCACATGGACAGTACTCCTTAGCCATGGTCTGTTGGCATTCAGCAATCAGTCACTCAATGTTTTCCCTCCTGCTGGATTCCGGCTGTTGTTTGATAAATCAATACTGCACCACAAAGTTGTTGTGTATATTCACGGTGGTTGCGGAAACGGTGGATGCTAACCCATTGATGGAGATGCATAAACAACCATATCACATAATAAATAGCAAGAACACAACATTATTTGCCATGAAGTGCATCATTTTTTTCTGAATTGCTAATTGCCTGTTTCACATTTCAGGAAGTAGAAGAATTTGCCAAAGCAAACGAATTTGGTGTAAGTAGCCATTGGATGTTTTAGTTTGACTCACATGATGATAAATTGATATATGATACATTGCTTTTCTATCTATACATCTTTGTCCACTAGTCAGTTGTAAACTTTACAATTTTCAACAAGCTGTTTGTAGTTAGAATTTTTCATGTATGAAATTTGGAAAGATTTTCACTTAAACCTACTGATAGAATGTGAAACCTATCTAAAACATGCTGAGCATTGCAGCAGCATCAACATTCAGTTTGGGCATCTATAAGTTAATTCATATATTTATATGAGGTAAAGTTCAATACCACCTAAACCAGATAGTATGAACAGAGTGTGACAGATATTGATAGATTGGAACAAAGTGCTGTTTACTGAAACATCATAATTCTGTGTGGGGGAAATTTGTGCGAGAGTTTCTTGTGCCTCTCAACCCAGTTCTTCCAGCAAAGGATGATACTTTATATATTAACTTTAAAATGGTTTACTCCATGAGTGATCTATTTGTCCAATACACCATACCTAAATGTCAGTAGATTAAATATTAATAAGCTGGTTTGTTCAGTAAGTATGGGTGCAGCAATTCGCTGTTGTTTTCAGACTCTGGATCACAAGGAAATTGCCCTGAAAATAGCCAGTCTTCCGAAGGAGGGCAGTCGGCCCCGCACTGTCATCATCACTGAAGGGGAGCTGCCTGCTATAGTTGCACGCGGTAAATGAGACGGCTTCCTTCACAGTATCATTGTTGTAGACCAGCTGATTGGCTGTCTGTAGTTTTACGATTTTTCAGACAGATCAGGATTTGTTGACACAAAATTTAAATTGTTCTGCATTTTGTTCATATTTTAGAGAATAAATTTGTTTTAAAAAATAACATCATATAATTAATGTAAATTATAATGAATTTTAATAGCAGATTATATCTAATTTTTTTTAAATAATTGTATTTGTTGAGAAGACTTCCTGTCAAAGGGAAGTAACTGCTTCAGTTCTGCACACAGTTACATGAAATCTGTGATATATATTTGTTATCAACACTTGTGTAATAGTTTGTATATCTGTTTATTACAGATGGAACAATTACTGAGTTTAAAGCTACCATTGTACCAGCCGATAAAATAGTTGACACAAACGGTGCTGGAGATGCATTTGTTGGAGGTGAGCAGTATGTGAGATTGAGGTCAATCTATACTGTCAACGTGACATTCCAACTTCAAATGTCTTATCAAAATGGGTTTTGTTTTTAATTCACAGCCAATGTTTTCAGTCTTTTTTTCATTCAGAAGATTTATTGAAATCATTACTCCTAAAAATATCTATCCGTGATAAACTTATAACGTGTAGTTAGGGTCCCTTGAATACACAATGCCATTTAGAAATTGGTCAAATGTAACATATGTTATATTTGGGATTACACTTTCTTAGTAAAGTACAGATTCTAGTACTTTTGTTGGGTCTGAACTTTGTAGTTACCTAGTGAAATTGAAACACAAACTTTGTAGTTTGGTTGAAAAGGGTCAGAGCCAGTCTGATTATTTTGTTCTTAAACTGTATTTAGATGTTAACTCTGCTGTTTCAGGGTTCCTATCTCAACTTGTGAAGGGGAAGCCTTTAGAAGAGTGTATGCGCTGCGCCCACTGGTCAGGGCAGTTCATTATACAGCAGTCGGGGTGCACGTTCCCCAAGACACCCTCATATCAGTGAAACCATGTCATTCCCTAATCACTGTACAGATAATTACTCTTGATGAAGGCAATATCGGAAAACTGGAGGACCTGACCTCTAGAGGTGTCTGACCCAGACTGATGGCTGGGGTCTGCTCAGACCAGTGAGGGGTCGGGTCTGAAGGTCTTTTCATTACTTTATTATCATCAATCCATTAATACTGATCATGTGACAAGTCAATAATCCAGGTCCATATCAGTGACACGATTTACAGTTGTACATTCAAATGTATCGTTTCATCATGTGGTACATATGTACATGTATAACAATATACAACGTTACACACTGCATGGGAGACTTGGTATCCAAGTTCCACTTAATTACTTTGCACTGTAGCCTGATGGCTGTTTGAGGGTGGGTTTCACTGACTACAGCAACTGAGATGCTCTATCATTAGCACAAGACTGATCTGATTTTACTGTGAAACATAACGTAAAACCACAATGAAATAATGCTTGGGGTAAAATATTTTGTATTTGTAAACAATGACAACACAGAATCATTGTTGATCCCAGTATGTTAAATTGAAAGCAGAATAAAATTTGCTGATGTGATAAAATTGTCTAACCCATCCGCGATGTAGTCAAGTATAGATTTTCCCGCCTGAGAACTGACAACCTCGATCAGGGCCCTCTGTATCTTGATAGGATGTCTGGATGGTGATAGGGCCGGAATGCTGTACACAAGGCTCACGATTTGTGTATTGTGAAACTGTTTGGATGATGCACAAGTCAGTATACATCATTTCAGGTAGACATGTCACTGGAAAACCAAATCTGTGTGGGATTAATTTCAGTCCCTGTATTTTTATTCAAGTTTTTCACAGCACATTCTGTGTCTATGCAAACTCTATGTATAACAATCTGGTAGGTAGTTATTACCCAAGTTTGCAGCAGGATAGGTCAGAAAGTCAGGCGAATATCTGAAGCTTATCATGATACAGACACAATAGAACAATGAAAAATATGTCTCACGTAAACAAATATAATTTCAACATTACATGTTTTGGGGTGAAAATATTAATCATATTTCAAAAAGAAAAATGCTTTAAAGCACTAAAAGTTACCTTTCAGCTTAAAGTTCTATTAATAGATGAACCAAGATGATGGTTAAAATGTGTGGTATTCATGAACTGTCACTCCCTACCTGTTGCACAAAGATGGTTCAGTCATACACCTCCAGACCATTACTGATAATGGACTCAAGGGCATGAGGCAAAGATCCGATTGACTTTGGTTAAACATTTATTGTGATGTCATACTGAATATCTATCCTTAGTTTTTCAGGCTCTCAGACAGGTAGTTCAAAACAGAAAGTGTGTATAGTCAGTATGTCTCTTGTGAGTATTTTACAATCTACGACTGAAACATGAGATCTGCAAGCAGCTGGCTACATATCTGTCAAGGTTTATTGTGGGACTTGCTACATGTCACATGTATCTTTCTTGTTTACAATTATGTATTTGGAATTTCAGCAGTATTTTAGCTGAGGTACTGAGAAGTTTGATTATTTTTACATTGATATCAGTAATAAAATGAGGAACTGATAAAAGGTCTGTTATTAAATACTAGAGCTTTCCTTTCTCGGGTCATGTTTGTTTGAAATGCCTGCTGCTTGAATGAGTTTCACATATTTTGGTTTACCATTTTTCACAATGTCAACCTATGCATATTTGCAAGACATTCAGTCATTTCTTGCTGTGTCAGATGTCATATGTGCATAAATGATGATAACAAGACAATCGATGGCTTATTTATTTATTTATTTATTTATCTATTTATTTGAGGTGGACACCCATGTCTGGCATTGGATGGTTTGACCAGAATTCTAACCGAATGACTCGAATTTAGAGTTACCTCCCTTGGTCTGTGTTCACATAGGGTCTTCACACGTGTATGTATATTCAGCATTGATAGCTCCATTGGTGTGTGAGTATGTAAACATATCTGCTTACTGAGCCCTGGGCCAGTATCTGGCGCGACCGTCTACCTCCCAGACACAAGCCACACTAGAGGCAGCCTTGTTGAGTAGAGCGGGCGTCCTCACAGGCCGACAGCATACAAATGGTATAGGGTTCAAACTCGTAAAAACATAGGTTGCGCCGCTGAAGGTTGCCTATTTACAGCACCAGATGCACGCTCCATGAATGAGTGGGCCAAAATGGAGCGTGTGATATTTGGCTGTGCACCGGGAGGGAAAAAGATATCGCACCCATGGTGAAATATATCTTGACAGGAACCAGCTGCGTTGCACTAAACACGGAACCTTTATCTGTTCAAAGTCTCACCTGTTCAGACAACTTCCCGAAATAGCTTCAGTTGCACGTGAAGATGCACATTTTCGATGTAGCTGTTCACAGCGTCTGTGGTGGAACGAACAGGCACTTGGAAGAGTTTGTGGAGAAGTTATGGTATAAATAACCTTCCTGGGCTGTTGGATGGTCGGCAGTAGCGGGTTGAACATCAGGCAGGTTCGGAATGCGCCATATTCATTGGTAACACTTCAGTGTAAATGAAACGTTTTATCGCGGAGATTGATAGGACTTATAGTACATTAGCGCCACATGCTGGTGTCGTTAAACAATTGAGAAAAGGGCCGCACCGGAGATATATTTGATGGGAATAAGAGCCTTGTTTTCGAAATGAAATCGCTACTTTAATCAATGTTAGTGTTGTGGAAATACTGCTGACTTGATGGGTTAAGTTAGGTGGTACTTATATGTTTCTCAGTCAACATGACGCCAACACGTTCATATGTGGGGGTGGGGACATGTGTTGTATATTTCAGCAATCCAAATGTGCTGTGTGTGAGAGTTTTTACGCGGCTTTTAGCAGTATTTAATGGTTTTGTACCCGTGAAGATCCGGGTTAGAATTGATCCTCAGTAACCTATGCTTGTCTAGACTAACGCGTAGTCCCTGATATATAATTTTGATAGTAACAAATAAACCCACTTAAATTGAAAAGGAGCCTCATTGAGCTCAGAGATTCATCCTGGGAAAATCTAGACTTGCTTCATTTAGAGCTTTAGCATTGCAGGGAGGGCTTGGTATTAGGAAAAATAATGCTTGTCGTAAGATGCGACTAACGGGATCGGATGGTCAGGCTCACTGACTTGGTTGACACATTTCATCGTATCCCCATTGCGTAGATCGATGCTTATGTTATTGATCACTGGATTGTCTGGTCCAGACTCAATTATATACAAACCACCGCCATATGTAGATGGAATATTACTGAGTGCAGCGTTAAACTGAACTCACTGTACCAATGTGGGGATCAAGAAGAGAGACCAAAAATGGGCTTAACACATTGTGCACATGTGGGGAATCGAACCCGGGTCTTCGGCGTGGCCAGCGAACGCTTTAACCACTGGGCTACCCCCACCGCCGACGATAGACATGGTTTACTAAATATGTTCCACGTAGTGTTATGAAAAGATTGCCTAACTATATCTGAAAGTTTCTGTGACGATTACAGAATATTTTTTCAGATCGACATAACTCCGCTCAGCTGTTTATGTGAGGTTGTACCAAGCAACCTGAAATGTATTTTGTATTGAAAATATCTGCCGACGACTGAAACGTATCGGACGATTATGTGAAATATCTTTTTAAATCGGGTAAATAAGAAAAACTTTAACACCGCCTCGTGAACGTTCAAACCTACCCTGACACGACATTATAACGACTGTCATTTATTCAACAATCCCAAGTTATATTGTAAGCGGCGTCCATGGCTGACATGACACATCTGAACACGCAGAATAAGTTTCGATTGTGCCTGCTCTGTGTTACCCGTGTACCATACGGAAACTGCTTTTGTCTGCAAATACGAGCTCCTCAAACGTAATAACCGCTCAATTTCTGTTGCAAGCTGCGAGAGGATTTAAGTTGAAGCGTGTGTGTGTGCAGGTTCCCACGTCCAGGAAGCCGTCGAGCTCTGAACTGGAGCGTATCATCATTATGTAAACCCACATCCAGGGCATCGGGTGTGACGGTCCTCCATGGTTGCATAAAAAGTGCAGGTTCTGAATCCATGGTCACTTGTTGTCCTCGGACCGCTAATAATGTTGAGTCGGCTCTAGGATCAGTAATGCTGAGTTGTGTTTTGATTAAAACACTTAACGTGCGGCGCAAATAGTGCGAACTTCCTGACATCCATACTTGATGTAGGGAGTGGGACGGGGTTTGGAACAAGGGAGACAAGTACTGTTGTTTTTAATACAACCAGTCAAGAACGGATTTCCACTTTCATCATTCTATCAAACGTACATTTTGCTTATGTACTGCCAAACAATTGGCTGAATCTACTGCGCGTGGTGTTTTGCTTGTTCTCTGTTTGAGGCTGTAGACCTTGTACTGGACGAGTCATGTATGGTCGACGGCCAAGGGTGAGTGAGGTTAGATTTACGACGCACTCAGCAATATTTCAGCTATACGGCGGCGGTGTGTAAATAATCAAGTCTGGACCAGACAATCCAGTGATCAATACCATGAGCATCGATCTACGCAATTGGGATGCAACGATCGCTTAGGGACCATAGTTATTTAAAATATTCGATGGCTGTGCCTGTAAAGGTCTGATGAAAGTTACATCAAGTAACGTTCTAACCAGCCAACTTTATTATCAGTACAAGGGGAGCATTCGGGAACGCTGATTTATGTATTTAGAAAGGGGTGGTGGGGTAGCCTAGTGGTTAAAGCGTTCGCTCGGTACGCCGAACACCCTGGTTCCAATCCCCACATAGGTACAATGTGTGAAGCTCATTTCTAGTGTCCCCTGCCGTGATATTGCTAGAATATTGCTGAAAGCGGCGTAAATCCCAACTCACTCACTCTATATAGAAAATGAACGTTAACCAGCAGTTCTGAAAGGGAAACGTGGCTATTTTTCACTCATCCAGGTCGTCTTAGTGCCATGGCAACTGCACCCCAGCAGGTTCCTGTTATGGTGGTACGTACAGATCATTTTGATCCCGCGGCCGTCCAGGGTTAAACCCACGTGAACTGTGGTGGTCTTGTCAGACCTTGATGGAGAGTGGTATTAATGAGATTGGCCTGGGCACAATAAAATGTTCGTATCTTGTCACAAGGAGTATTTTACATGTTTGCCTGGGAAAGATTATCTTTAGTTGCCATTGGTATCCACTGGGTCAATAATACACTATGCACAAAAGAGGAACCGTTAGACGTCGAATTTCAATTAGATGCGTCCCATATTTCGTGAGATTCTTGTACCGTTGGCAAACAGGAAAACATTCCTGCTTGGCGTCGCACTAACGAAATACAAGAGGTTGTTATGCATAAAGTTTGTCAATATTATACTTGCAAGCTCCTTAACTGCAACTCTAATATAGTTGCGTCCCTCTGTTCCACCAGGATTCGATTACTCGAATGCCGGAAACTCTCTGAGAGTAAGCCATGGTTTGTCCTCACTATTCCCGGCGTCAAGGGACGAGTAAATGTAAGGCTTGCGTCACGTTTCCTCCAACTAGATAACCGGCATGATGTCCTACAACTGAGGTAGCCTGTATAAAGTGGCGTAAAACCAAACTCACTTAAAACCATGTAGCATACCTGTTACAACTGAGATCCTATGGACATGTTGGCAAGGACAGAGCGTATATCGCCATCTTTTGTTGGATTGTCGGTCTTGTGGTAAACACGCCCCCATGCACTTAAATGGCTCTATAGTAAAACACCCTACAGTGTTCCCATGGGGATTATTTGATAAATGATACTCATATCTTTTTTGTAATAATCGTCTCAAGCAAAATACGCCCTGTCGTGGTGAGACGTTGCTATGATGTCGGTTTCGAGGCGAAAACCCCAGCTGAGTATCAAACTCGTTCTAACAACGAGCTATGACACTGTCTACTATTAAACTCGCTCCAACAACGAGGTGTGATATCGTTTTATCCGGGATCATACCAGCTCCAGCTCACTGTAACAGGTGGGTGTAACACTGTCTACTCACCTATTCATCGCAACGAGGGGGTTTAACACTGCCTATTCATCGCCACAAGAGGGTTTAAAACTGTCTATTCATCGCCACAAGAGGGTTTAACATTGTCTATTCATCGCAACGAAAGGGTTTAACTCTGTCTATTCATCGCAAAAAGAGGCTTTAAAACTGTCTGTTCATCCGCAACAAGAGGGTTAAAACTGTCTGTTCATCGCAAAAAGAGGGTTAAAACTGTCTGTTCATCAGAACAAGAGGGTTTAACTCTGTCTATTCATCGCAAAAAGAGGGTTTAAAACTGTCTGTTCATCCGCAACAAGAGGGTTAAAGCTGTCTATTCATCACAACAAGAGGGTTTAAAACTGTCTATTCATCACAACAAGAGGGTTTAAAACTGTCTATTCATCACAACAAGAGGGTTTAAAACAACAAGAGGGTTTAAAACTGTCTATTCATCACAACAAGAGGGTTTAAAACTGTCTGTTCATCGCAAAAAGAGGGTTAAAACTGTCTGTTCATCGCAAAAAGAGGGTTAAAACTGTCTGTTCATCACAACAAGAGGGTTTAACTGTCTATTCATCGCAAAAAGAGGCTTTAAAACTGTCTGTTCATCCGCAACAAGAGGGTTTAAAACTGTCTGTTCATCGCAAAAAGAGGGTTAAAACTGTCTGTTCATCGCAAAAAGAGGGTTTAAAACTGTTCATCGCAACGAGAGGGTTTAACACTATTCACTAGCTCACCGTTACAAGGATATATAATAATTTAATGGTCTA